TTTTTTTTTGGAGAAGGAGAAAAAAACAAGCAATTTCTACACAACATTAGAACATACAATAGTATGTTCTGCTTCACTTCGATGGGTGGTAAAATAGACCGAAACGTGAACAGCAATGGTGGTACCCCAATCTTCCGTATAAATGGCCAGAACTTCCACTACATTGGTAGTCTATTGCCGGTAGACGGTAAGAAACCACATTTCGCACAACTGTATATCTATGATACCAACAATGAAATGGACAACCGTGTCAATTCTGTTAGGTAAGTGGGAGGAATTTTTTTTTTTTTAATTTAATGCAATTTCTTATGTGTTATTTGATTAAAATTATGATTATTGACCCTTTTAAATTTTAGGCAATATGGTAAGCAAAACGACATCCATATGGAAATTGTCATTGTGATTCAAAGAGTTCTGGATGACCATAATGTGTTGATAAAAACATTTCGCATGGCACGAGATGAACTACAAAAGAACCTACTGGCTGAGGTTAAGATAAAATTGCTTGGCAAGAAATCAAAGGATGTTAGAACATACAATTTGCCACAGGTCTCAGAGGTTGCTGCGTTGATTGTTGGTGATATCGATACCAATATTGGGGAACACGATATTCTGGTTGAAACAAAGAGCGGTCTCTTGCAAAGAATCACTGAGTAAAATCCTGCTTACCTGCCGATGCAGTACCCTTTGCTGTTTTCTTATGGTGAAGACGGTTATAGGGAGGACATTCCCTTCTCAACGTTAAAAGGAAACACAACTGGTGGACGTCAAAGGATAAGCCCTAGAGAATATTTTTCATACCGTATCCAGTCTAGAATATCCGAAGTTTCAACTTTATTGCATGCAAGAAGCTATTCCAACAATTTCTGGTTGATGCCTATACAATGGTTGAGTCCGGAAGGTTAATATATATAAGGACACATCAGAAAAGTTTTAGGTGCGAATCATATAATTGCTTGAATGATGCATTAACACGAGGTGAACTTGACCCCACTACTCAAGGAAAACGAATAATATTGCCTTCGAGTTTTACGGGTGGTGCTAGATACATGATACAAAATTATCAGGATGCAATGGCGATTTGTCGATGGGTTGGATATCCAGATTTGTTCATCACATTCACCTGCAACCCAAGTGGCCTGAGGTACAACGCTTCTTGAATACAAGAAAATTAAGGCCAGAAGATCGCCCAGACGTAATTTGTAGAATATTCAAATTGAAGTTGGATGCCCTACTATCAGAATGACTAAAGAACAAGTTATTTGGCCCAGTTATTGGAGGTACGTGAAAAATAAGCTTCTATTTTAATGATGAAGTTTCTAACCCATAGCAATGTCCCAAGATTTAGCTCTATTCTAAACTGTCTTATCTTTTTCATTGTTAACAGTGATCTATACCATAGAGTTTCAAAAAAGAGGTCTACCGCATCCTCATATACTTTTGTTTCTGGATAAAAACAATCGAGCACAAAGCGGTATAAATCTGGACAACATTATTTCAGCTGAGTTACCTGACCAAGAAACAGATCCAGAATACTTCAAAGTTGTTGAGGAGTTTATGATGCATGGTCCTTGCGGGAAAGCACGGTTGACTTCTCCATGTATGGCGAATGGTAAATGTATTAAACATTTTCCCAAGAAGTTTGTTAATTTGTCAACTGTGAACGAGGATGGTTATCCTATATATCGCAGACGAGACAATGGCCGGTCTGTCATGCGTAATGGTATTCAATTGGATAATAGGTACGTAGTACCACACAATAGACATTTGTTGCTAAAGTATAGGGCTCATATTAATGTGGAATGGTGTAATCAGTCCCGTTCAATCAAGTATTTGTTCAAGTACGTCAACAAGGGCCATGACAGGATAACAGCAGAGTTTTACAAAGCCAACTGCCATGAAGAATGTCCAAAAGTTATTGATGAAATCAGTATGTTCTATGATTGTCGGTACATCTCTCCGTGTGAAGCATCTTGGCGATTATTTGGATTTGATATACAGTTAAGGACACCAGTTGTTGAGCGATTAAGCTTTCACTTGTCAAATCAACAAAGTGTCGTATTTGCAGATGATGATCTAGTTGATAACATACTAAGCCGTCCAACAATCTTACAAAGTATGTTCTTAGAATGGTTTGAGGCAAATAAAACCTACCCAGCTGCAAGACAACTGACATATGCCGAAATGCCAACTAAATTTGTATGGAAGAAAGATGTTAGGAAATGGCAACCAAGGAAAAGAGGATTTGCAATAGGTAGAGTTTTCTATGTGACACCTGGTACAGGGGAGATATTTTATTTGAGATGTCTTTTGAATAAAGTAAAAGGGCCCACAAGTTTTTTGGACATAAAAAAAGTAGATGGTGTGCAATACGAATCTTTTAGGGATGCGTGTTCTGCAAGAGAATTAGTATACGACGACAGGGAATATGTTCATGCTATAGAAGAAGCAAGTCAATGGGCGACAGGTGTAAATTTGAGAAGATTGCTTGTCACCCTATTAATGTCAAACTCAATGGCAGAACCAGAAGTTGTGTGGGAAGCTGCCTGACACTATTTGGCTGAGGATGCACAATTCAAGATTAGAGCTCAATTGGGGATTACAAGTAATATTTTGTTTCTGTACTTTCATGTTGTACAAATTATCTGTATACACATACTTATAATATGCGATTGATAATACTATCACAGATTTGATTTTATCTGAAGATGAGAAAAAGAATTTTGCACTTCGTGAGATAGAAATAATGCTTTCTGCTATGGGAAAGAGTTTGGAAGACTTTCCGTTGATGTCAGTACCGGATTTAGAGAATCATGCTGGAACTACCAATCGGTTGATACAAGAGGAATTAGCATATGATATTAATGTCATGAGGGAAGAGAATGATAAATTGGTGCATCAACTCACCGAAGAGCAAAGGGCTATATATGGAAATGTATTGCAAGATGTTGAGAATAATCTGGGAGGCCTGTTTTTTGTTTATGGATACGGTGGAACGGGAAAAATATTCTTATGGAGAGCATTGTCTTCTGCTTTAAGGTCAAAGGGTGATATAGTTTTAAACGTGGCATCAAGTGGCATAGCATCTCTTCTACTACCAGGAGGTAGAACTGCGTATTCAAGATTTTCAATACCAATAGCTGTTAATGAAGATTCAACCTGCAACATCAGCCAAAGTAGTCCTTTGGCATAGTAAGTTGATCATTTGGGATGAGGCACCAATGATGCATAAGTTTTGCTTTGAAGCTTTAGACCGTACTATGAGAGATATCATGCGTGCTAAAAATCCAAAAAGCTTGGATATGACTTTTGGTGGGAAAACCGTGGTGTTAGGTGGAGATTTCATACAGATTCTACCAGTCATTCCAAAGGGCACCAGGCAAGATATTTTTGGAGCAAGTATAAATGCATCATATCTTTGGAGAAACTGTAAAGTATTTAGGCTAACAAAGAATCTCAGGCTTAGGTCATTGCAATCAGATACTGAAGTTAAAGAGATTGAAAAGTTTGCAAAGTGGATTGCTAATATAGGTGATAGAACAATTGGCGATTCTTTGCATGGAGAATGTGAGATAAATATTCATGAAGAATTTGTGCTAACTTGTGTTGAGGATCCAATTTTTACAATTGTTGATAGCATATTCCCTATGTTCCGCAGTGGTCAGAGTGATATTCAATACCTAAAAGATCGTGCTATTTTGGCACCAACTTTGGATATTGTGGATGCAGTAAATGAATACATGAATGACTATAATAATGCCGAAGGAAGGACGTATCTCAGTTGTGATTCGGTTTGTAAATCTGATTCAAATGTTGACATGCTTGCTGATCTGCACACTCCAGAATTTTTAGATGGATTAAGGTGTTCAGGAGTTCCAAATCACTCATTGACTCTAAAAGTTGGCTCACCAGTTATGCTTCTGAGGAATATTGATCACTCATTGGGATTGTGCAATGGTACAAGAATGATCATCTCAAAGTTGGCAGATCATGTTTTAGAAGCTCAAATACTATGCGGGGCAAGTGCCGGTACAAAGATCTTAATTCCAAGGATGTCCTTAACACTTTCTGATCCAAGATTGTCTTTTAAGTTCCAAAGGAAGCAATTTCCACTAATGTTGTCATTTGCAATGACAATAAATAAACGCCAAGGCCAGACACTATCCAACGTGGGTTTGTTTTTGAAGAGACCGATTTTCAATCATGGTCAAATGTATGTAGCAGTGTCAAGAGTTAGTAATCCTAAGGGATTAAAAATTCTTATTTAGGATGAAACTGTAAAATCTAAAAATACGACTACAAATGTCGTATACAAAGAAGTATTCAATAATGTATAAATTTTTTTTTATTTAGATCACTATCCAATTATTTTTTTGATAATTATGTATACATATTGCAGTGCACCGCACGGGTGCAACTACTAGTTAGCTTAATTAAGACCAACCAAATTTGAGAATATAAAAAACCTTTACCTGCTAAAATTTGAACTGATCATAACTAAGAAAACACTAACAAATAAATATTAAGTTATGTCAAATAATATGACCAATATATTTGGGTATAAATGTATATCATTTGTACACATGTTTGTTTATAACAATGTTTGTTTATTTGAAAAAAAAAAAAAAACAATGTTTGTTTATTTACAATATTTACTTGGATTGAAAAAAGGGGACAATAAAAAGATTGTGTCCTGTTTGGTAAAAAATTGACTTATAGGTCAATTTTGATTTATTTGACCACTATTAATTGTTTGATTTAGTTAAAATATTAATATAAATTCGATTAATTAGTTTTTTGCAACTTCAAAAGACTAAAATTAAAAAAACTATTCCAAACAACTTTTTCAATTAACTTTTTGAAAAAAGAAATTATACCAAACAACTAACATATAATTTACCAAATACTTTTTACAATCAACTAATATTATCAAATATTTATACTCTCTAATTAATACAATCAGCTAACGATCATTTTACCAAATGGGCCTCGTGTGATCATGGTGTGTAACCTGTGTTATATATGGTAAAGAATAAGGATTCTCTCCGCGGAAGCAGCTGCGCGTCGGAAAGAAGTCGCCGGCATTCAGAGTGAAAGCAGTATCGGTGCCCGATTCCGACGTCGAAAACCCGGCGCCGGAGATTAAAGAGGCTATTAAACCCGTTTATACCCCCACCCCTTCCAATCGCCCTCTTCGAACTCCTCACAGCGGGTAATTTTATACAATCTATGCTCATTTCCATAAATAAACTCGAGACGTCCACGGGTCACCTACTTTGTTTTCCATTTTCAGCTTTCCATTTCTTTAATTTTTTATTTCTCTATAAATGTTGCTTTAATGGATTAAAGTTTCTATTTCTCCAAATTGGGAGAATTAGTTAAATTTTGGATTCTCCAAATTCTAGAAAAAATGATTCATTTCTCCTGTTATCTTACTCTATATTTTTCATATTATACTACTCCGTAATTACTTAGTTAGCATTAGTAGTAGACAGGCTGAGGTCTTTCGTAGTGGGATTGGAAGTAGCTTGTTTTAGTGTGAATTTTGTCGGATAAATTTTTTAAAAAGAAGTAATTTTGACTAGCCTTTCTATTGTTCTAATTAAAGTTATGCCTTTGTGTTAATTATAAATTTTTTTTAGCTCTAGGTCATTGTTCATTGTGGGTTTAAAATTGTGGAGATAAAAAGAGTGCGCTAAGATGTCTTAAAGTTTACTATTCTTGTAATTCTAATAGTGTATCAACAAACTGAAATGTAGCCTTTGGTTCTCATCCATGTCAACTTGGTTGGCAAGAAAAATATGTGAATTCCTACTTTGGAACAAGATAAATGATAAGATGTTAGGATTAAGCTGCATCCATTGGAGCAGTTTTCTATATTGGAAGTTTATAGTGTCAATGTTTAGCTCTTTTATGTAGAGTGCAAAATAGCTTCATAATTGATTGAATAGTGGTAATGTTCCCCTTTTGGGATTTTCTTTTTCTCATGTTTGCTATTTGTCGGTTCACTCAGATATCATTTGATGGGACTCGTAGAAATTTTTTCGAGGGATGGTTCTTTAAGGTTTCAATTCCAAAATGTAGACAGAGTTTCTGTTATATGTATTCTGTTGAGAATCCTGCATTCACTAAGCCATTGAGTGGAATAGAGGAGGTGCAGTACGGGCGTCATTTTACAGGAGTTGGAGCTGAAATTCTTGGTGTGGATGACAAGTATATTTGCCAATATACTCCAGAGTCTAAGAACTTTTGGGGTGGTATGTTCTTCTTTTGCTTTTTAACGGACTAGTTCTCTGTGATGCTGCTAGTGGTCAAGTAGTCATTTGAAAATTTTAATAAGGGATTCTACAGGAATTCAATAGCCGTGTTTTGGAGGGTTTTCAAGTGACACCGCTTTGGCATCAAGGATTTATTCATGATGATGGAAGGTATTCCCATTTTTCCTTACAAAGTTACAGTTTAGAGTTTCTCCTCATAAATTGTGACAGATGTAGGGATTAGCAATGTTACTTTTCCAGGCTATCATAAATTCTCTATAATTTTAGACTTAAAGGAGGTAATTTTATCTTATTAGAGGGGTCCATTTTATTTAATGAGTATGAACAGGATTATATTTTCTTATACTGCATAATAATACTGTTTAAAGTGCGGGCAAATGCCCCCACCCTGAAGCATATATCTGCCAATGAGTTCTAGCCTATCTCTACTGCATATTATCCCGGTGATGTTGAGATTCTTGTTTCATATTTTCTTCTTTCCCTACTTGGGTCTTCATTTCTGTGCAGCCATGCATTTATTACTTTGTGCCTTTTTTATATTTATAAGAGAAAATTTCAATTTTGGTCATATGACTATAGGGACTTTGTTAATTTCAGCACCTGACTTTTAAAAGTGTCAATTTAGTACCTTGACTATGCAACTTTTATCAATTTTGGTCACTCCGGTCAAATTGCCGGCCAAATTTCGTCGGAAAATTTTAACAGTTAAAATAATGAGGATATTTTAGTCAATTCACATCTCTTCCTTCTTCTTTGGCGAATTCATTTTTTCCGAAGAATCCGTCGCAGCAGCACACCTTCCAAAGCATACTGAAACTCATTCGTCCAAGCCGTCGCCGGCGATTTATTATGGTTCAAATGGCCAAAATTCCAGTTGAAAACATCTAACCGTTTGTGTAAGGGGAGCTTGAGATATCGGCGGACCTAGAAATCTCCGAACTGCACTTCTCTTTGTGCTCGTCCAACGCACCTCTTGCCAAAATTCGGGTTGAAAGCTTTTTCGGCCAAAAAAAGGCTTGCTCGAAGAAGAAAGCGAAATGCTAAAACTGTTGTTGGTGCCTATTTATTCTAAAACTTCTCTATATCAACATTATGCTAAAATTGATTTTGAATAAATACTTCTCTTTTTGGATAATGTTGAATAAATACTTCTCTTTTTGGATAATGTTGAAAGCATCGCAGCGCACCTCATCCTTGGATTCGCCAGAAAAGGTGAATTCGCCAGAGAAGAAGGAAAGAGATGTGAAATGACTAAAATACCCTCATTATTTTTACTGTTAAAATTTTCCGGCGAAATTTAGCTGGCAATTTGACCGGAGTGACCAAAGTTGATAAAAATTGCATAGTCAAGCTACTAAATTGACACTTTTGAAAGTCAGATGCTGAAATTAACAAAGCCTCTATAGTCATATGACCAAAATTGAAATTTTCTCTATTTATAATAATGATAACAACTATTATACTTAGTATTATTTTTTTGCGAAGAAGATGTTATTGATAAATTTGCATCTGTTAATGGGTATAAAACTATAGCTTCACCTTCTGCCTTAAATTTCCATCAGTTTTCTATGCTGATCAAAGACTTAACTTTTTGGTGCTTTCTTTCATAAAAGAGTTACTTTGTAACGCCACAGGTGTTTCAGTTTGCATTTACACATATCTGGTCTCTTTTAACAAGAACCAGTGTTAATTTTGTAAACTGCTCTTTGTGTGCATGTGGAGAAGATGGTTATTTTGGAGTTCCATTGAAATTGTTTGATAAATGATATTCTGATTGTTTGACATGACTTAGCTTGACAGGACGGATTATGCAAAAACTGCTCGCTGGGAGTATAGCACTCGCCTCATTTATGGATGGGGCAATGTGGGCTCAAAGCAAAAGTCCACGGCTGGCTGGCTGGCTGCATTCCCTGTATTTGAACCTCATTGGCAAATATGCATGGCAGCTGGACTTTCAACAGGTATTAGCATGTTCCCTCTCTAATTAACAAGTTTGAGGGCCTATTTAACCCTTATCTGTTTATTTATTTATTTTGTACATTCTATTATACAATTATATACATTCTATTATCAATTATGTACATTTTCGAAACATGAGATTTTTTTTAAGAAGTTAACAGCCGACACAGAAAGCGAAATTTCCAACAAAAAAGTACAAAACGACGTCGTTTTGCACCAGGGCGCACAATGCAATGTGCGCCCTGGTGCACAATATAAATTTCCAAACTCTACCAAACAGGCCTATAGTTTTTCGTTTCAATCAGTGTTTCTTTAAAAAATTGTTCCAATTTTGGGCCCAGTCCAAATCCCAAACTCGGCCCGATTGAACCAAATACGGAGTATAACTTTGATCTTTCTCTCTCTCTCTCTCTCATTTCTACTTCTACCCTAGTTCTCTGCAACTGGAAAGCTGTCACCAGTTAAAGCTGTAAGTATTTCCATTCGTATCTTGATTCAAGAACTAGAAGAAATTGAGGAGTTTCAGATATCTTTTGTTTTTGAACTAATTCTTTTGCGCTTTTCATCTTGAATTCTCAGTAACTCTAAACTCTAATGGCGTGTAATTTGAAAGACAAGCATTCCCTGACCAATCGGAGGCCCCTTCCGGGAAGACCTAGTCCCGATCATAGCAGCAATCCTAATGGAAATGCCGCGGAAAGAAGTGCAGTTCCCAATTCAGGTTCAGAATCTGGTGATTTGGCCCAGAACCCGAACCCTAAACTAAGTGGCTTCTTTACTGACGAGCAATTGGAAGAAATGTTGTTGCGTAAATTGGAGTTTGCGTGTAAAAAGGTGATCTCTAAACTTGTTTCTCTAGGGCACGATGAGAATGTGGCTTTGAAGGCTGTGCTTAGCAATGGGTATTGGCATGGGGAGAAGGATGCGTTTGGAAATATATTTCAAAATTCTTTATCGTATTTCGAAGATGGGAATAGTGTGCGTTCTGAGAATCCTGAACATAATTTCTCTGATTTAACGCAGTTGAAGAAATGCACCGTAGCAGGGATGGTGTGTTTGTTGCAACAGGTTAAGCCTCATTTGAGCAAAGGAGATGCAATGTTGTGTTTACTGTTGAGTGAGCTTCATGTTGAGCGTGCTAGTGCTATAGAAATTCCCAATGGGATTGGTGATAGTAGTAGTAATGTAGAGGGCGTTGTGAATGCTATGTTTAGTTTCCTTGATGGCTGTAGATTTGAGAATGGTAGGCCTAATGAGGGTCCTATGCATATCATAAATTCTTTGGAGAATGAGATTGCGTATCCAAAGAAGTATAATCTTAATCCTGAGGTGAAGTTTTTGTTGAAAAGGAATGTGGGAGTCTGTTCTGCTGGACTTAGAGAGAATACAAAACATTTAGAGAATCAGTCGCAGGCTTCCTTAGGCTCTTTGAAGATTGGAGATTCTTCGGGATTAACTGAAACAGGGGGTAACGAATCCCCAAATATTGTGAATGATGATGATGCTATTATCTCAGTTGTAAGTAAGTTTCGTGATTTGCATATTCAGAGCTCAGGGACTGCGTGTATCCAGATTGATCAGAAAGACGAGGCAATGTTAAGTTTGGAACATCAAATAAAGGATCTTGAGAGGCAAGTAAAGGAGCGTAAGCAATGGGCATACGAAAAGGCAAAACAAGCTGCGATGAAGTTGTTCAATGACATTTCAGAACTTGAGATGCTGAGGAAGGAAAGGGATGAGATTCAGCTGCTAAAGAAGGGGATGCAAGCCATTGAAGATAACTCCATGAAGAAGCTTGGGGAAATGGAGAATGAACTCCGTGAAGAAAGTGTTCAAGTGGACCGTGCAAACTCTGCTGTGGAAAAGCTTGAGAATGAGAATGCAGAGATTAGAGCAGAGATGGAGGCTTCTAGGTTAAGTGCATCAGAATCTCAGAAAACCTGTATGGAGGCCACAAAGAGGGAGAAAAAGTGCCTAAAGAAGCTTTCAGCAATTGAGAAACTGAAATCCAAACTTCAGTATGATATTGCAGCTGAGATACATAAGATTTCCGATTTGCAAAAGCAATTGGCTCAGGCTGAGGCAGGTCAAAAGGAAGCTGAGGTATTTTCTTTATATTATTTCATTACTAATTAAAGATTCTTTGCAATATATCTTTTATGTGTTTCTGAACCATTTAGATAAAAAAAGCACACTATAATCCATGAACAAGGATTACAAAAGCATCACACATGGATGGAGGATAATAGGTCCATAAGTTCACCTTAGTCATATACATTCTTACAGCAAAAGAACAAAACTTTATACTTGTACCTAATTTTTACATTGGAGTATGAACTATGACGTCATCAAAGCATCTTTTGTTCCTTTCATTCACAAGTGCCAGATTTTGTGAAGAAAAATTATTTTTTTATTTTTTCATACAGATATTCTCCTAACTAAAAGAAAATCGTTAGTTGACTTGCCAACATCCATATTTTGCAATCTATTCCAAGGTTCAAAAGTAACATATTGATGTTCTCTTTGCCATACAAGTCCTGCTACCCAAAACTTGTTGCGTTCTCTATGAATTATCCTGTACTAATATTGTGTCATGAAATGTTGTCCACGAGTCTGAAGCAAAAAAAAAAAAAAAAAAAGATCCCAGAGCATCCTTTTCAACCTTTGTTTTTATTTCATACAAACACACAGACAAAGTTTATTTTGATGACATAGGGTATCCCAGACCCTAGGCCGAACTAATCCCCCTGCGTGACAAGTGCCCCCTCCAGCATACACCCGATAAATCTCCCAGGTATGTGTGGCCCCAAGGAATTAAACATGACCTACAAGTTGGTGTTTTCTTACCAGTGAACCAACTCATAGGATTTGGTTTTTATTTTAATATTTCAAGCGTCTTTAAAATGTAAGTATGGTATATATTTCTTGTCAAGGACTCAAGTTATAATCCCTATCGTTGTGGTATTTTTGAGTAATAAATCCTTCAAATAAATTCCCCCACAATGGACGAAAAAATTAGGGACCTGTTCTGTTTGCTTCTAATTAATGCTGATGTTAATTGCCAAACACTGAAATGATTAAGCTTTGGAAATTGCTTGTGAGTTTGTTAAGTACTTTTATCTGCACGATACTGTTCATGGTAACCTTAATCATTGAGTGAGGTTGAATTACCTTGCAGTTTCCTTGTGCTCTTCTTGAGTTGCTTTTAGTATTCTATAATTTCTTATGAGTGATTTTGATATTCCAATGAAACCCGTAACTATTTATTATGTATTCATATATGACAGGTAAAATGGAGGCAAGAACAGAAGGCTAAGGAGCAATCCTTAGCACAAGTGGAAGAAGAACGACGCAAACATGAAGCAGATGTGGCTAATAACAAAAGAATGCTTGGGGCAATGCGCTCGAAGATAGAAATAGAGTTCCAGAGACGCAAGGACGACCTCCATCGACTTGAGCGAGAACTTTCACAGGTTAAAGCAACTGAGCAAAATTCTAGGCAACATCTTCAATCCCATGATTTATCAATGCAAAACTTGAATGGGGTGAAGTCAGAAGGTGATATCATGCGTGAACTAGACGCACTGGAGGATTCTGCTGATGGGGAAACCATTGACCACGATAGGAGATGCATAATTTGCTTGAATCATGAGGTTTCTGTCGTTTTTCTCCCGTGCGCTCATCAAGTTCTCTGTGCAAAATGCAACAATGTCCATGGGAAGAAGGGGAAAGCTACATGTCCCTGCTGCCAGGTTCCAATTCAACAGAGAATTTGCGTGTTCGGCACATCCTCATAGGATTGGAGCCTGACAGAGTGTTTCTATATGGGCCTGAATGAATGGTCATCCTAAAACTAAATGCTGGAAGTCATCAGCTCATTGTAAGTATAAAGTAAAATAAAATAAAGCAGCCAAACGGTCAAGTATTTGCTGCAGAACAATACTTATGCTTACTAAAAGAGCTCATCCCTAAGAAACTAATAATGATGGTTGGTGCTGGTGTTGTTCTTGAAAATGTTACTTTTGATCTTTTAGTTATAGAATTATAGTGGATTTAGATTTTAGACCATCAATATTGGCATTTCTACTTTTGATTTAAAGGTTGACATTTAGGCTGTGTTTGGAAATATTGGTTTTAGGGTTTTTGGACCCAAGGAGGTCCAACACAACCGTAGTTGGTGGATTCACCTTTCATAATAAGGCTACTAAAATAAAAGTATGACTCAATGATTTTTACGTGGAAACCAAAAGGTGAAAACCACGGGCTTTTTTGGACGGTGCTAAGCTTAAATTCACTATTCTGTAGAATTATTTGTACAAGTTGTATGGCTATTTTGTATATAGAAATATTGTGTAGGGAAAGAGTTATACTGTATATAGAGAGGGAGTTTTCCTCTTGATCTTCTTGTGGGGAGAATGTTATCTTCCTGCGTAGATGAGTGGAGAGTGGTTGTGGAAGAGTGCCTTCTCTTTGGGAGAGTGATAGAGGTCTTCTCTTGTGGTCAAGAATAGTGTGAGGGAGAGTGAATAACATGCCCCTTTCCTCCTTTGTGATGATAATGAGATGCCCTTTTCCTTGTGCTCATCCTTTTTTATAGCTAGCGTAGGCTTCAAGATTATAGCCATTGGGGGGTAATTAGTAGGCTTTATGAGTGATAATGATGGCTTAATTGGGTAGTAAGTGGGAGTTCATGTGGGGGTTATGGATAATAATAATAATTGGGTGGTTAGGAATTGAGGGGTAATAATTAGGAGATTAATATGGGTTAACGGCTAGTTTAGGTCGACCTCTTACTCGTGCCGACCTCCGGGTCGAGCCGACCCTTCGGTTTGACCTATATCTCTTTTGAGCCTCCCTTCTTCTAGGCTTGATCCCTCTTTTTCTTGGGCCCTGAGCCCACGAGGTACCCCATCAACTAGTCCCTCACTTTTCAATATTGAGCCCTCTCTAGCTCGAATATTGAAAATTATCCGCCTTCTTAATGCAAATTGCTTAAATCACTCCTCAATCTCCTCTTTTTAATGGTCGGATTGCGGGCGGATCTTCTGTGATCTCCTTGATTTCATCCTCATGACTCTTCTTTGCTATATGACCGACTGCTTCAGCGTAGGTGACCTTTTGGCTTCGAGTCCCTTTTTCTTTATCCGCCGAAGTGACTCTCGACTGTAACTTCTCTTTCTCTAATAAACTTCTAAGGGTTTGGACCCCTTGTTTCTTTTCTCTTTTTCTCTAAGAAGACCACTTGTTTCTTTTCTTTTTCTCTAAGAAACGTCTAAGTGTCGGAACCCTTGTTTTTTTCTCTTTTCTTGCCGAGTCCCTCAGTCGAGGCGAACCCTATTGACTTTTTCTAAGAAACGTCTAAGGGTCAGTGCCCTTGTTTCTTTTCTCTTTTCTTGCCGAGTCCCTCAGTCGAGGCGACCCCTGTATACTTTTTTTAAGAAACGTCTAAGGGTCAGTGCCTTGTTTCTTTTCTCTTTTCGTGCCGAGTCACTCAGTCAAGGCGACTCTTTAGGCTTTTCCTCTTAAGAAATGTCTAAGGGACAGTGCCCTTTGTTTGTTTCTCTTTTTTTGCCGAGTCCCTCAGTCGAGGCGACTCCTTAAGCTTTTTCTCTTAAGAAACGTCTAAGGGACAATGCCCTTTGTTTCTTTCTCTTTTCTTGCCGAGTCCCTCAGTCGAGGAGACTCCTTAGGCTTTTTCTCTTAAGAAACGTCTAAGGGACAGTGCCCTTTGTTTCTTTTTCTTTTCTTGCCGAGTCCCTGAGTTGAGGCGACTCCTTAGGCTTTTTCTCTTAAGAAACGTCTAAGGGACAGTGCCATTTGTTTCTTTCTCTTTTCTTGCCGAGTCCCTCAGTCGAGGCGATTCCTTAGGTTTTTTTCTCTTAAGAAACGTCTAAGGGACAGTGCCCTTTGTTTCTTTCTCTTTTCTTGCCGAGTCCCTCAGTCGAGGCGACTCCTTAGGCTTTTTCTCTTAAGAAACGTCTAAGGGATGGTGCCATTTGTTTCTTTCTCTTTTCTTGCCGAGTCCCTCAGTCGAGGCGATTCCTTAGGCTTTTTTCTCTTAAGAAACGTCTAAGGGACAGTGCCCTTTGTTTCTTTCTCTTTTCTTGCCGAGTCCCTCAGTCGAGGCGACTCCTTAGGCTTTTTCTCTTAAGAAACGTCTAAGCTAAGGGACAGTGGCCTTTGTTTCTTTCTCTTTTCTTGCCGAGTCCCTCAGTCGAGGCGACTCCTTAGGCTTTTTCTCTTAAGAAACGTCTAAGAGATAATGCCATTTGTTTCTTTCTCTTTTCTTGCTGAGTCCCTCAATCGAGACGACCCCTGTAGGTTTTTTCTCTTAATAAACGTCTAAGGGACAGTGCCCTTTGTTTCTTTCTATTTTCTTGCCGAGTCCCTCAGGCCTTAGTCGAGGCGACTCCTTAGGCTTTTTCTCTTAAGAAATGTCTAAGGGACAGTGCCCTTTGTTTCTTTCTCTTTTCTTTTAAACCTGCACTCCTTTGTTTCTTCATGCATTGACCTTTCATACTTGGCACTGAACTAAACTTTAATGGCGAGTTGTACTCCCATATTGCATGCCACATATGTACCCCTTCTATTTTTTTTTTTTTTTTTTTTACTTTCACCAGCTTTGAAGAGGTCGTCCGTACTTTTTGTGTGTTTGTGATTTTTCACCTTCCTCATCTTCTATCCGCATAACTAGATGGGACAACCACCCGAGGTCCGGACGCTCGGTCATTGGCCTGAGTCTAGGTGGGGGGGGGGGGGGGGGGGGGGGGGGGGAAACACAATGTCCGACACAGAGTGGTCGGCCCAGCGCGAATGGGCGGACCTACTTTGTCAGACTCTAGGAGTCGGCCTTGAAGCTGATTAGGCAGACAATCCAATGTCCGACATGGAGTGGTCGGCCCAGCGCGAATGGGCGGACCTACTCGGTCAGACTCTAGGAGTCGGCCTTGAAGCTGATTGGGCAGACAATCCAATGTCTGACATGGAGTGGTCGGCCCAACGTGAATGGGAGGACCTACTCGGTCAGACTCTTGGTGTCGGCCTCACAATGCCACATGCTTTCCCCACCAGACATTGCTTATATACACGTTCGTGCTTCAACATTTCCATCATGCTTCTGCCTCCCTTTTTTATACTAGCATCTTCACCTTCTGAATGTGTAGAATGGAATAATGGATAGGGAAGTAACCTCCAAGAATTTTAAAAAGATCTTCTGCATTAACTTGCGAGTGACCCAAAAGAATTAGGAAAGAATCGTGCTAGAGCTTCAAAAATCCCGAATATGAGCACCAAGCATTGTGGACCGTACACCATTTCCTTTTGTGCTTAGAGTCAGCCACTAGTATCACAATTGAAGGATGCATGTCGGTGAAAAGTTATTCCATGTGTAAAGTATGTCTCGAAAAATAGAAAAGCTATGCTGCCCAAACTATTCACGTGCCTTTCACCATTGATGGCCGCGTATGCTCAATTCCCATATTCAATTTCACACTTTACTAATTTTCCTTGCTTTGGAGCTCCCTGTATTCTTCCACGTACACAGTGCATGTATTCTCCTCCCATATTTTCTTGATATTTGAGATTTTCATGCCTCTTAATTTTTTCAAATTGTTGTACAGTCCTCCGTAATTTTCCTTCTTTCCAATTATTGCTTCCACGTGCAAAGTTGATGCATGTATGATAATTTCCTGTATATAAATGTGTATGAAAATGGTAATTAAGGTTGCTTACTTGGACTATAAATTTTTCGACTAGCGTTCATTCTCTTGTCATGGTCGGCTGCTCTCCCTTGTACTCCACGTACTTTTCCTCACAATTGATCACTTGTTTAACAAATAACTTTCCTGAGTCTCGGCTTTCATTGGGCTTCGAATTTCTTCTTTTGTAAGAAATTTCCCTGATTGTATTTCCTTTTTGCGCTCTCTTTTTCGTATTTGTTCCTGTTCATCTTGTAGTCTCTTATTTTGATATGGAGATCTATAGATGGATACATGTGGACTCGGCGGATTTGGAGAAACGACAATGAACGCTTCATTCCATGAGGTTCAGGAATATGACAACAAGAATCATCAGCGGCAGTAACGCTCCACGTTTGCAATCTCGATGATTATTATCCTCAAGGGGAATCACAATGTCTCGATGATGTCGACTGTTGTAGCACCGGCGGTAGAGGAGCTCATGAAATGAGAAGAGAATCCGGCGTCTGTAACAGAAAATGTGTCACCTTTCTCTCTTTGTCTATATATCTATATCAGGATCTTGAAGTACAATAAGCAATCTCATGCTATCATATACTCAATAAGCTATCTCATGCTATCATATGCTCAATAAGCAATCTCATGATATCATATACTCAATAAGCAATCTCATGCTATCATATACTCAATAAGCAATCTCATGTTATCATACAACTCAATAAGTAATCTCATGCTATCATACCACTCAATAAGCAATCTCATGCTATCATACAACTCAATAAGCAATCTCATGCTATCATACAACTCAAAAAGCAATCTCATGCTATCGTACAACTCACTAAGCAATCTCATGCTATCGTACAACTCAATAAGCAATTTGATGCTATCATACAACTCAATAAACAATCTCATGCTATCATACAACTCAATAAGCAATCTCATGCTATCATACAACTCAATAAGAAATCTCATGCTGTCATACAATTCAATAATTGATCTCATGCTATCATATACTCAACATGCAATCTCGTGCAGTTATATAGTCTCTAAGCAATCTCATGCTTACCGAGTGCATCCATCCGCCGACTTCCGTGGACTGCCGGGTAGTTTCTGAAGAATGGGAGCTGAGAGCATTCGCTGGCGGTCTTCTACTGTTCAAATTAGGACTCGGACGATGAAGACCCTGCACCTTAAGATCGACGTTTTGCACCCTGGACGACTTCTGGCCATATGGCGTCAAAACTTCCGTCACTCGGCCACTATCGGCTCAAGATCTCGAGCACTCCATGACAGGGGAAGCTTTAAAGATTGTGTAGAATCAGCCGATTTAGGGGATCGACGATGATGGTCACACGGTCGGCAATGAAAATAGTCTGTGCCAAGTGAATCTTGAGGGGATCGA